TAGCGCATTATCACTACCGCCATCATCGACGTCAGTCATCAGCAACTTCGTCTGACGTGACGAAGCCCCCGGTTTCTCCTCACCTGACATCTGCCAGTCAGCCTCAACCCCGTCCAGCGCCCCCGTCGATCAAAGATTTCGAGATCATCAAACCTATTAGCAAAGGCGCCTTTGGCAGCGTCTATCTATCCAAGAAGAAGTCGACTGGAGAATACTTCGCGATCAAAGTTCTCAAAAAGGCCGACATGGTTGCCAAAAATCAGGTAACTAATGTTAAGGCTGAACGTGCCATCATGATGTGGCAGGGGGAAAGCGACTTCGTTGCCAAGCTCTATTGGACGTTCTCGAGCAAAGACTATCTCTATCTGGTCATGGAGTATCTGAATGGTGGCGACTGTGCTTCCCTTGTCAAAGTCCTGGGCGGGCTCCCAGAAGACTGGGCTAAGAAGTATATAGCCGAGGTGGTCCTCGGAGTAGAACACCTGCATAGCAGGGGCATTGTCCATCGTGATCTGAAGCCGGACAATCTACTGATCGATCAAAAGGGCCACCTCAAACTGACCGATTTTGGCCTGTCCCGTATGGGCTTGGTTGGACGCCAAAAGCGCGTCCTCAAGAGTTTGAACGAACCAGCACCCGACCTTTTGAAGCAGGGTCCCTTTCCTCGCGCGACGTCTATTGCGTCCTCTCGGTCGGCGTCGTTCGATTTCCAGGCCCCTGGTTCACCAGGGTCAACACCACTCATGACCCCCGACCTCGCTGGCAGTCTGAACCAGCCATCGTACTTCAGCCTTAACCAGAGCGGTCTCAGCCGCCAACCCTCGCGCCGGGCATCCGGCTACCGCAGTGACAGTGGTGGCAGCGAAAATCTGAGCGCCATATTCCGAAATTTCTCTCTTACCGAGGGCAACGAGACTGCATCTTCTTTACCGCCATCCTCCTTACCTGTCCCGGTACCATCGTCCAGTAACATAGCCGAAGAAGAGAGTCAGAGTGAAGCCGGCGAGTCTCCCCGCTTGTATCCACTTCAGCCGACCTTAAGCAACTCGGTACCATTCAGCACTCCGCCCCAGCAGTCGATGATGCCACCCCTCATGGCACTCTTTGACCCCGAAGATCATAACAGACGATTTGTCGGCACTCCGGACTATCTCGCACCTGAGACTATTAATGGACTAGGCCAAGATGAAATGAGCGATTGGTGGTCCTTGGGCTGCATCATGTTCGAGTTTCTCTTCGGTTACCCCCCGTTCAACGCCTCCACTCCAGACAAAGTGTTCGAAAATATCCTACACCGGAGAATCAATTGGCCGGACGAGGCAGAAGAGCTAGCATCCCAGGAAGCGATCGATCTCATGAACAGACTTATGACTCTAGATCCTCGCGAACGCATCGGAGCCAACGTTGATGACAAATTCCCGAACGGAGGGGCGGAAATTCGCAGCCACCCTTGGTTCTCAGATATCAACTGGGAGACTCTGCTGGAGGATAAAGCACAGTTCGTGCCGAATCTTGAGAACCCCGAGGACACCGAGTACTTCGACGCCCGTGGCGCCACTCTACAACCTTTTGCCGAAGAATTAGAGGAAGGGCCTTCTTCGCAACCTGTCACAGCAGCAGACCGCCCTCACGACGCGCTGTTCAAGGTTCGCTCGCAGGTCAATTCGATGAAGCGGCCCTTGATGCCTCTCCACATTCCGCCGCATGTCCGTGACTCGCGCAGCAGGAGACTGAGTGAGCCAGCCTTGGCCGACGACTTTGGCAGCTTTTCCTTCAAGAACCTTCCCATGCTGGAAAAGGCCAACAAGGATGTCATCCAGAAGCTGCGCCAGGAAGCTTTGCAGGCCCAACAACGCCAATACAGCTCTTCCATTGCTCAAGCAATTCCACCAACGCAGGGTTCTGCAGCCCCGTCCGGCCCTTCGCTGGAGGGTAGCCCGTTGCCAATGCCACTACAACGAACCTTGTCTCATAATAAAAGCAACAACCGACCGTCGTCGCCTTCCAGCTTGAGCCAAGCTAACTCCTCTCCGAGCCGTCCTTCCCAGCCTTCATCCCCGCTTCTTCTGCAATTCAGTACCGGCAACAACCATGAGCGCAGAAAGACGTCAGGATCATCCTCGACGAATTCTCATCAGTCTAGCGGGTCTTTTGCGACCGGCAGTACTGATCAGGGTCGCATGGCTAATATCAAACTAGGCTCATCAGCATCATCTCCCATTAAAATCGGTCGAGGAGGGACACACTCGCCGGATAAAACACCTTCGGGCCATCGACAGGGCAGTATCCCAACGACCCGAGCGAGATCGCAGACGATCGGATCTCAAGATGGAGAATTATCATCCTCTCTCGCAAAGGAATCGTATGTCGCAGGTCATTACAAGCGCCGCAGTCAGTTGTTTGATATATCACCTTCCTCGTCAGACAATGAAGACCCTCGTACGAAAGCTTTGCTTAAAGTTCAGCGCCGTCGTCAGAGCTCAAGACGCCTGTCCCAGATCAACATCCTTGATGGTCCATTCTTCCGGCCTTTGGACGTGCTTATATGTGAAGATCATCCGGTTTCCAGGATGGTGATGGAACGCTTGTTTGAGAAACTACGCTGTCGCACAATTACCGCAGTGAATGGTGCAGAGGCGATGCGCTACGCCTTGAGCGAAGTCCAGTTTGATATCATCATGACTGAGTTCAAGCTACCCCAGGTGAACGGAGCAGATCTCGCGCGCATGGTACGCGAAACACGCAGTGCCAACCGGCATACGCCAATCATTGCGGTGACTGGATATCTGAAGGATTTACCTGAAACACATCATTTCGACGCGCTGATTCAGAAGCCCCCAACCTTGACCAAACTCACCGAGGCTTTGTGTAAGTTCTGTCAGTGGAAACCTCCACCAAAGGATTATAGCCCCTCTCAGCCCTTCGCTGGCCAGCCATCCGCACTTCGTCACGCTGCTCTCGCCGCCAATGCAGATCAAAGCCCTAGCTCGACAACATCCTCTGGCTTCGCAGTCGTACCTTCGAGCTCGTACCGAGGCTCGAGCCGGGAGGATTCTATCGGTAGTAGCTACTTCGGAGATATGGATTCCATCAAGGCCGAGGAGCCTCCTGTGGTTGTGAGTCGCCCCAAGGACGAGTGGATGTCCAGCCAACCAGAAGGCCTGGGCATCTCGGACAATTCAACTCCCAAAAGTGCGACGGATTCCGAGTCTTGTCCTAGCTCCAATGCAGTTCCTTTTCCGCATTTACTCCATGCCGCTTCAGCTCCCGCTGCCATGGAGCCATCTGGAAAGGCGAACCCTCGCAAACAACGTTCCAGCGAGTCCATCCGCGCGAAAAGACAGTCATTGGAGAAGAAGCGCTACGAGTGCGCCGAGTCTGGCGATGACGAAGATGAGGAGCTTGGAAATGCCCATGTGCGCACGCCTAGCTCGAGGTCTCGTTCCCACCGACCGGTTTCTAAGTTGGGCGTAGAGATGATGAGGACCAACAGCCGGGGCAGTGTGGTCAGCGGCAGCGAAGAACTGCTGAGAAAGGAGCGCGAGGCATTGGAAAGGGGCAAAAATGGAGAGTCTGAGAATGCGATTGAGAGCGGCGAGGAGCCGACCTCGTCGTCTCCAAGCACCTGTGATGTGGAGGACAGGTTCGACAGACTGCAGATCTACGACAACACGATAGAGGAGAGACCCGAAGAGGAAATCAGCCCGGGACACTCGCCATTACCACAGGGTACAGATCTGGGCTCAACTCCATCTGCAGCGACGCGGCCGAAGAGACCGTCCTGTTCACAACATGACAGGGGGATCACTGAGATTTATAGAGGGACTGCCAGCCAGTCTTCCGCCGCAAAGTCCAGTACGGAAACTCTCAAGAAGGGCCAAGTCACTCCTCCGATCATCGTGTCCAAGGAGGACGAACCCAGCGCTTCCGCGATGATCCTAAACACACCATCACCCAGAATGTCAAAGGACAATCTAGGCACCGATGTCGACGATTATGATCGGACTGCCGACTCCGAAGCCACGCCTCGACCTCGACATACTCCTTCCCCAAACTTAGATCTTGATCATACCCCGCGACCATCTGAGCGATAGACCCACGGCAATGCCAGTGACCGGATAGAACAAATAGAAGTCACGATTTCTTGACAGTTCTCTACATGGCAAGGCATTGCATACCAATCTGCTTTACGATGGCGCATCCTCTTTGCATCACCAAAGACCTGTTTCAATATGCATCTACACTTGTCAAATTATCCTCTCCTATGAAGAGTGTCACTCTGCCTCTCCTCACTTGATTTTCGTCTCGCTTTTGCTTTTTATCTGATTTGTCAAGGCTAAGCGGGTGTTGGGGGGTTTGCCATCTCTCCATGTGACCATTGTTTTCGTTTCGTTCCTTGGGCTTTTTCCATTCATCTCTCTTACCGCCAACTTGCATCACTTACGATCTCAACATCTCTTTTGTATGATTTTCCTTGCTTCTTTCTTCAGACCAAAATTGTGTACTTAGGGCTCACAAAAGCAGAATCAAAGCTTTTGGAGGTGCGGGAATTTATCCGTCGACGCGAGAAACTCGGACTTGCTCAATGTGCTCAAGTAGGCTATATTTACGGCACCGCTCTTAAATGTATGCTCGAGATAAATGCTTTATTTCGCCTTATGCCAGTGTCTGGGTAAGGGATTGCATATCTGGATATGTAGATACATGTAAAGTCTAATAAATCACAGAGAAAGCAACATGATGGTTCAAAGCCCTTGGATGAAACCGACATCAAGTCCATTTCACATCCAAAGCGAACGAACACTCCGGACATACCTCGTTCCACAGCATCGACACATGAGGGCGGGTATTATCAGTGGTTCAATGAATAAGAAAAATCGTATTACAAAAAGAGAGATTGAGAAAAGAAGATCCAGGGAGATGCTAGAAGAGATGTGGTATGAGATGAGCAGGTAGTGACAAGATGACTTATATGGGAAGGGTATATAGCTGTGGTGCGATCAATGTCCCGTCGGCTGGCGGTTGATAGTGGTACCCCGGTCGTCTGTCGAGCGAGCAGAAGGTGAAACGGTGCGGATCTGCGATAGCGCCGGGCCGATGTCAGACCGCCCCTGTTCCATCATGTCCTCCTGCTCGTGGACGGGGTGTGTGCGATGGCGGAAGAAGCGGTTGCGGCTGGAGGAGATGCTGTGGCCGCCGTGGGAGTCGGTGGAGCGGCGGCCATCGGAGCCGGTGGCCGCGTGGACGCTGGAGTTGGAGGTGCGGGTCTTGGACAATGAGGCGCGGCTCCTGCGTTCTTCCTCTTCCTCCTCCTCTACTTCCTGGATGCGCCGTTCGTCATTCTCGCGGTTCGCGAGGCGGACAACTTCGTCAATGTGGCGGCCGCGGCCTTCAAAGACATCGCCCATGACATCCATGGAGGAGACGTCGCGCATGCCGAGTGAGAAGTCGACGTGTTTGCGGGAGATGGATTCGCCACGGGCGCGCGCAGCAGCGGTGTTCATCCCTTTGCGGAGGATCGAGGGGTGGCGATTGGCAGTGCCGGTGCCTGGCTGGTCGTGGTACTCCTTTTCGCTGAGAGGCGTAGCTGGGGGCCGGCCATCGCTGGTGCCGGGTGGGGGAGCGAATTGCTGGTTGTGGCCGTTGTAGCGAACGTGAACGGGGAAGTCGACGCTCGCACCCTGGAGGTTCATGCGTGGGCCCTCGATGCCGATCTCCTGCAGAGCGATCATGAGCATGCAGATAAACTTGTTGCGGCGTTGCAGACGCAGGCCTTCATTCTGCCAGTTGGACTTGTAGAAAAAGACGACGTTGAGAGTCACCGAGAAGTTTTCGGTGACTTGGCGCATTTCGGTGAGGATGTTGGTCTGGAACTCGCGCTTTTCGCTGCGGACAAACTCCAGCAGGCGTTGGCGCAGCGCGTCGATCTGTTCGAGCGTCGTCCCGTATTTGATCACGATGGGGATGGCTTCGGCGAGTGCGCCCGAGCGACGTTGGTTCAGGATGAAGAGAGTATTGAGATAACTGTTGGGCGCCTGGACGACGTGGCCCTGCATCTTCTTGAACTCGGTATACAGGAGGGAAATCTGCTTGACAAAGTAGTCGTCACCAAGGCCAGCATCTCCGGCGTTACCGTAGATAGTGACACGGTCTCCCACGTCGAAGGGGTGTTTGACGAAAACGAAAATGACTGATTGGAGAAACTCCTGAGCAGTGGCGGAGAACAACCAGGACAATGCAAGAATACTGGAGCCTGCAGAGGTAAGAACACCAGCGGCCGATGTGGAAATCAGCGACAAGAAGACAATGAGTGCGATGACAATGACGAAGAACTCCAGCACATTGTCAAGTCTTGATACGACCGAATCGAGATCTTTCAAAGATGCGGTAATCGATTTACGCTCCCGTCCGATCTCCACACAGACTGCCTCCAGCTCTTCCATGGAGATATCGCCATTCATATCCTTGTCGAACATGGTGAATGCGGCCTCGGCTTCCTCGTTGTTGTCGAATGCCTCCTTCAAATCCCCGGAAAACACGGTTTCAAAACCATCTCGCACAAAGGTGCGGTAGAGCCGTCTTGCCAGAACCTGACAGCCGGTAGTCGTGCGCAGCAGGGTCAAAACAACCTGGTAGGGGTGGCTGCTGCTCGTAGCCTTGCGGCCTGTGAAATCAGCGGCGACTGCACCCGCCACATCCGTGACTCTGTTCAGGGCGCCCTTGGCAATACGCTGCGCCTTTCCGGCATATTGCATGGGAACGCGCATCGGTGTCTTGGTGCCGCTGCCACTCTGATCATTCTTCTCCTCGAATTCGTCATCATCAGCCTCGATCTTTGCTTTTGAAAAGTCATACAGCTTGGTGAGACTGCCAATCTGGAACTTGTTGATTTCAATCCGATCAGCATAGGTACGCAAGTGGAAGCTGATGGCGATGAGCTGAATGATAATCTTTTCGATAAGGTTCAAGATGGTCCAGACGAAAATGGAGATGATGATCTTGTTGACAGAGTTTTCCCAGCTGCGGGTGGCGGAATTTCCATCAACGTGGTGATTCTTCATGGTGGGCAAGAACGAAATTTCCACGCCCAACCACCAGAAGAAGAGTGTCGCATGAAGCTCCAACTGCTTAGCCAAGTCACGCCATTTTTTCGCATTGTTGGTGAAGATACTCGCAAGCAATCCCACAGGGATGGGAATGAATTTAGCCACAATCTAGATCGAGTTAATGGTCTTTCGAGGAAAAGAATTGAATAGAATCGATACGTACTCTACCGGCCCAAAGTGTCAACCAGACAATCTCTAGCCAGACGGAGAACCAAAGCAGAGAGACACCTCCAACATTGGCATCAGGGAAGGCCAAAGCCCCAACAAGTAAGGGAATGAGAAGGATCACAACAAGCGGGACGATATAAGTGATATAGCGAACGATGAAGCTCGACTCATGAACCTTCTTAATGAACTTGGAGATCTTCGTATTTGGATTTTCAGGCGGGTTGTAGACGGCGGCCTTCTCGTGTAGTGGATTTGTGGCTTCGTCGAATTCGTCGACATTGCGCGAGCGATGCGAACGGATTCGCGAGATAGACTCCGCCTTGCTTCCCTTTTCCATCTCCTCATGGGTCGAACGAGACGCGACACGCTCCGCCTCGAGCAAAGCCAGGTCATCCTCTAGACGCAGGGATCGTTCTCGCGCGGCCGAAGGTGAGCGCAAGGGTAATCTCTGGGTGTCATCATAGGAGGTGTCAACCCTGAGGTGATTGTGGTTACTGACGGCAGAGCCATCATGGACATAGGTGCCATCATCGGACGCGGAGACGTCAACATCATCCAACCTCTCTTTTCTCTTTTCGTCTATATATCTAGGAGCAGGGTGCTCCTCGACGGGGGTGGACATACTAGCACCAGGCTAGATATAAATACTGGGGAGAACTTTAAAACCAATCGATAAAGCTGAAACAAAGTTAGAACCTTGAATTATAGGGCGAAAGCAGTAGTAGATGGTCAGGGATCAATGAGGGCCATATAAATAAGCGACAGCGGATTCCTAAGAAAGAGCAGAAAGGAGATTGATGAGACCAACCAAGAGCAACGGGGAAGCCAAAGGGGGCAGTCTCTTGAGAGACGGGGAATTAATTTCAAGCAAGTTGTATGCAGGTAAGATTGAGGATAGAGAGTACCTCTTGAAAAGAAATTGAAAGTGCAGAAAGAGATAAGATGAGATGAGATGAGACGATATGCCTGTCAAAGAACGACAACCGACATGAAAAAGAGCGGATCATAGGAGAGCTTCTCTGAGGTTATTTGAGTCGCCGACCAGCCAGCATCATGTGTAAAGAAGAAAGAGAGCGAGAGAAGGAGCTTTCAATCTACTTGACAAGTGACGGGAATTGAGGAAGAGACGCCGATCGGGCGGGAGGACCCAGAGTAAACCAGCGAGTCAGAGATTTTCAAGTCCAGGCCTTTTCTCGGTTGATTCAAGGTTGGGGATTGCCTCCGCAAGAATGATCTGATTCGATGCATGAAGAGATCTATGTGTTCTGTCTCTATATCAGACCGTGGTGGGAGTTATTTTGGGTGAGTGGTTCCTGTACCCATAAAAGATATTGATTCATGGACCCATATGGCCATAGAGCATGGCGATGGGTCTTCGGCGACTCTTGGCCATATTAGGAGACAATAATTGTAAACTCAGAATATGTCAATCTACTTCGTCCTAGGTCATTTTTCCTCATCTACACAGACAGTGAAGGGGATGTCTCCATATTCTCTCATAAACTAACATTATTTTCATGATGGCTGTGCAATTTCTCTAGATATCAACGTCATGTACCGTACTCCGTAAGGGTGCAAAGAAGAAGTGGCCACTGCCAAGCAACGCCATCGACGCCACCTCAGGCACTTGTGGTCTCCCATTCGAGACACTTGGTGGGGCTATTAAAGAGACCGCGTTGAAGAGGTGCGAAATGACGATACAGGCCCAGTTTTCATATAAATCATCGTCAATAGGGACTCTCCTAGGATTCTAGCATGAAGCTCAGATGTTTTAATTTAGAGAGTACCTTATGAGAGCCTATATCTTCAGCAATACTAACTAAATAAATATACCTACAATGAATGTTATGAGGTATGCTCATCAGCTAAGGACTACTCCGTCCGTACTTTAAGTAAAACCCGACGAGGACAAGCGGAAGCTCCACCCCAAGGAAAGCCACAAAGTTTGTTTTAATGCAGGGCTGCGCGTCTCATAAGTATTATTACTATGGGCTCTTAAGACCCTCCCAGCATGGGGGGTTTCTGATACTTAAATATATAGTTGGACAGCTATTCCTGACATTTATTAGCCTACTTACCGAAGCACTGTCCAGAACAATATGTATCATAACAATAGTTCTTTTGCTTCATGATAAACCTAGTGAATTGCAACGAATGAGCAGGCCCAATCTCTAATTCCCGGTTGCCTTTGACATCATTTGCATTGACGTGGCTCACCCCGCCTTCCGAAGATCTACAGACCCTTGTCTATCTATCTACTAAGTACTTTCCGATCTTGGTGAATTGGTCGTTCAGTACTATGCTGTAACCAGCTAAGGTAGTTGACTCGAATTGTTTGGTTGTCATTATTGTACAGAGAAGGTCATCACATGTTGAACGGATGTCTCGCAATACACCTTGTTTGGAAGAACTGATAAAGCGATAAACCTGACCTATGCACTCTGTAGTCCATACGACCTCCGCTTTGAATTGTATCCTGAGAAGGCAGTGATGCGCTTCTCAGTCTGGGGGGTCTGGAAAATTCCTACGGAACCAAGGACTACCCAGAAGACCGTTTAGCCATGGACAGCACATAAGTGAGAATTGCGATGAGCTCCTTCTGCACACCCTGTTGAAGTGCAGGGATGCTTTGATAAGTCTTGGTCTGTGCTTATACCGAGGCCCCGGGAGCTCCTCAATCGGCAGGACGTGTGATAAATATCCTACTGATCCCCACATTCCATTGGGAAAGCGGCACGTGGTAAGAAGGTAGGTAAAATGTTCAGACACACCATGCCAAACTCTACAAGTTCAGAGGTTGCCTGATGCATCTATGGGGTGCCTCTTCTGAGGCGTTTGTAACCCAATAAACAAACCAAGCTCTGGGCCTAGTAGGACCCGCGTGCAAATCAGTTAGCAGCGAAGGCAAGCGCTGATTGGCTACTGGTGGTGTTGTTGATTGTTGATGGTGTCCACCCGCAACGGGTAGGCGCAAACCATCAGCGCACCAGTGCACCTTCCTGAACTATCTACCGACCGCCTTCCAGACTGTCTTCTTCTCTCTCTTGTTCTTCTCCTCCTCTTCATCAATACTCTGCTATCTTCTTTTCGCCAGATTCAGCCTGTCGTCTCAAAACCGGCTATCAGGAGTCGTCTTCTCTTCTCCTTTGAAGTCTGCGTTGAATCATCATGCGAGGCGAGGTATGCCCCCTTCTCCCCCCGCACGTTCGCGCCTCCTGAACCATAACTTGAGATGACCTGATCCGTGTCAACGTCCAAAATGTCGACCACGGGCTTCTTTATTACATGGAGATTCTGACGTATCTTGTCGCGGTATTCTAGGTTTGCCATATCCATATTGGCCAGGCTGGTACTCAGCTTGGTAACAGTGCCTGGGAACTGTGAGGACTCACCGCTTTTTGTTCTGCTGACACTATCGCTCATGATGGTCTTTGGGTGCAATTGTTTGGGCTAATAGACTTGCTTGTCATGCAGGTACCTCCTAGAGCATGGTCTCAAGGCTGACGGTCGTCTCGATCCCGAGGTGCCTGAATCGCACAACAACGGAGGCTCCTTTGAAACCTTCTTCACCGAGACGAACAGCGGCAAATACGTACCTCGCTCCATCTTCGTTGATCTTGATCCATCGGTGCGCCACAACTCGGATCTGAGTCCAAGATCGGATGGAAGATGAACATCTACGCTGACTATAGTAGCCTATTGACGAGATCCGCACTGGCACTTACCGCCAGCTCTTCCACCCCGAACTCTTGATCAGTGGAAAGGAAGATGCCGCCAACAACTGTGAGCCGAAGGCTGCATTTGCAAGAAGAGTAAGGGCTAATGCATGGCAGATGCTCGCGGTCATTATACCGTCGGCAAGGAACTCGTGGATAGCGTCGTTGATCGAGTTCGTCGCGTTGCCGGTAGGCTCCATCGCATGCCGCTGACCGGGACTTAATTTCTCACTAATTTTGAACAGACAACTGCAACTCGTTGCAGGGGTTCTTGATCTTCCACTCCTTCGGCGGCGGTACCGGTTCTGGTTTTGGTGCACTGCTCCTGGAGCGTCTTTCGGCCGAATATGGCAAGAAATCCAAGCTGGAGTTCTCCATCTACCCCTCCCCCCGCGTGTCGACTGCCGTCGTTGAACCCTACAATGCCGTCTTGTCCACCCACAGCACTATTGAGAACTCGGACTGCACCTTTTTGGTTGACAACGAAGCTGTCTACGATATCTGCCGTCGCAACTTGGACATTCCCCGCCCTGGCTACGAGCACCTGAACCGTCTGATCGCCCAGGTAGTCAGCTCTATCACCTCGAGTCTCCGATTCGATGGCGCACTCAATGTCGATTTGACTGAGTTCCAGACAAATCTGGTGCCATTCCCTCGTATCCACTATCCCCTGATCTCTTATGCGCCCGTAGTTTCGAGCAACCGCAGTTCCCATGAGAGCTTCAAGGTGCAGGATCTTACTTTCCAGTGTATGTGCATTATCGTTTTCTTCTCCTCATTGGAGAATATGGGACAAATCACCATAACTGACTTATGCTGCAGGCTTTGAGCCCAACAACCAGATGGTCGTCTGCGATCCTCGTAACGGCAAGTACATGGCCGTCGCCCTTCTGTACCGGGGTGATGTCGTTCCCCGCGACTGCACTCAAGCTGTTGCTGCCCTCAAGGCAAAGGCATCCTTCAACCTGGTCGAATGGTGCCCCACCGGCTTCAAGCTGGGTATCAACTATCAGAAGCCAGTGCGTGTTCCTGGCAGCGAGCTGGCCCCCGTCGACCGCTCCGTCAGCATGTTGTCCAATACCACGTCCATTGCCGAGGCGTGGGGCCGTCTCGATCACAAGTTCGACCTCATGTACTCGAAGCGTGCCTTTGTGCACTGGTATGTGGGTGAAGGTATGGAGGAGGGCGAGTTCTCCGAGGCTCGTGAGGACCTGGCCGCATTGGAGAAGGACTATGAGGAGGTCGCCAATGATGGTATGGAACCGGAGGAAGAAGGGGTCGAGTACTAAATCGCCCTTTCTTGCTTTGTCCGCTCGCCATCATCTGATAGATCTGCTTCCTGTGTCTCTGTTTTTCTGCCAAAGCTCTGACTGTATTCCATCCTTCCGCTTGCGACAACCCCTCTTGTTAATGCTTTTCCTAGCGTTGATCTTCAGTCTTTGAACTCTTTCCTGTAAAAAAAGGGAACAGGCAGATATCGCGAAGTATTAGAATAATCCAGAATGCCACTTTTTGTCTATGTTCGTGAGGACGGTACAGGCTCAAACAAGGACTATTGTACAAGTAGATAATATTACAGAAGGGTTGTTTCATCAAGTCATTCAGCGACGCGGAAGTCGTGGAGGAGTTTTAAAGATCGCTCGTAAGTCCACATGGTGATGGCACTTGCTGGTGCGGCCTTGATCAAACTCACCGTCAGTCCCCGGTAGAGGCCCCGGACTCCCTGGGTACGCACTATCATAGCGATGGTGCTAAATACGCCGCGGTATTCGGGGATATTGCGATGCACATACAGTGTGCGCGTTGGGCCCTGGACCTGGAGTCGCTTTCGCACGAGGTCAAGCGGAAACACCCCAGTCTTGGCCAGAACACTGGCAATGACTCCTGCAGCGGCATCACCGGACCCGAACGGCATGTTTTCCAGCCCGGACAGCACCGGTCTCAACGACTCATATGTCGCGAAAAACAGCCCCATATACGGGACGATCTGACCAACCGCCGCACTGCAGCCCCGGAAGAATCCCGCCGGCCCTTCATTCCGCGCAATGTCCTGCACCGACGCCAGCAGCGAGGTATAGATGCGCTCGGTGCCCTGGGCCGCGAAGCGCGTTCGCAGCAGGTCGAGTGGGTACGTCGACGCCGTAGCTAGGCCGCCGGCTACAGCGCCCGAGACGAAAGATTCCAGGGCGGGCGGGAGACGGTGCGGATCGAGTTGTGCGAGAACTTGGGTTGTGGTGCGGTAGGCTGTGAACTGTAGGGCGCCGTAGCAGACGTACATGAGTTCGGCGGGGATGTTGCCTTTCCAGAGGCCCTGTTGGCAGGATCCGTTAGCTTTTTTTCCCCCCCCTTGATGGTCGGGCGGGGAATAAGGAAAGCGCACTGTTATCCCTTCTTGCTTGATGATCGCCCTCATGGTGGAGAGGGTCCCCTTGTATATTGGACCGACTACATCGCGGTGGGAGGCTGGGTCGGAGAGGGAGTGGATCTGCAGTTGGAGGCGGATCTTGACGACGTCTAGAGGGGCGACGCAGAATCTGTTTTCGCAAAAGGGTGGTGGATTAGCTGCTGCGATTACGATTCAGAGCAGTAGAGGCAGGCTGGACTCACCGCGAGACCAGCCCGGCGATTCCACCTGAGAGAACGACTTGACGTCGCGTGCCCTTTTCTCGTGTTAGTACTTGGATTGAAGGCTCAAGGGTCGATATCGAGAGACGGCGGGACTTCAAGGGCAGACGTACCTCATCCTTGAGGTGTTCGCCCCCGGCCGACATGCATGTGATATGTGAAGCAAAGGGCTTTGGCTTGTGCTTGGACTAGGCTGGGCTGTCGGTGTCGGGGGTTGTCGGAGATCGTCAGCGCAAACTTGGTGACCAGGACCCTTTCATCAGAATGGGATGGATGATCCTAACGGCGATATTGTAGTGTTGCAGCAATGGATAAAAAGATTTTTAGGATGGAATTAGGCTTGCACTCCGCCGATAAGCTGTGGATAAATCAGGATCTGGGGGATGGAGCAGGATGGTTCTCGTTGGGTAAACAATACGTAAAGGGAACGCTACGTACGGGTCATCTCCGTTCTGCTGCTATGCTACTGTTGCTACCTTTTCTCAGTGATACTGTTTGGAATTCTGGAATGCTTTGATTGTCAAGATAGGCATTCTTGCTCAATGCTTCGTGCTGGATATAATTATACCACCAATGGCAGTGCTTTCTATCGTGACGTATGCAGTAATCACTGACACAGCTGACGGACATTGGCGGGCAGATGGAGGTAGTGACCAATGGATAACATTATGCAATCAATCTCGACCTCAGTAGGAGATTCTCGCATTAGTATTGCATCAATGGTCATCCTGTCAGCTCCTTCAGTACATCCAGAGTTGACGTACAAAGCGAGCAGCGAGCAGCGACATCGCCATCTGTCTGAGAGGAACTCAGGTGGTCTGGCTAAGGCGGCACTCCACTAATCCATATGTGGTCTGTAACCTCGGCGTGGAAACAAGACACACGCGACTCCGCGTTTGGATTGCATGACACTACTTTGTAAACATCAACATCCCTCCCGTTCCTCCAGACATTGTTCAAGATTGCGGTTCATCGAAGTACCGCTGAGACACCATGAGCCGGGTTCTAAGACCTCTCGTCCGGCTACCATGGCGGAGCATCCCTCTACGCCCATTCCTCGCCCGACGGAGCTATTCAGCCCCATCTACGGAACAGGCACAGGGGCTAAAGACAGACTATCCTGACCTGAACAGAGTGATCTCAAAACGCAATCATGGTGACTATTCTCAAGAATATTTGGGAAAGCCCGCCCCGGAAGGGGTCAGGCTATTGAGAGCCAAACTGGATGTCATGATTGACGGAGAAGCCCGGCGCTTCAGGTACCTGCTCCTACGCGACGCCTGTAAATGCAACCTCTGCGTAGACGAGCATTCGAAACAGCGCAAGTTCCGCACTTCGGACATCCCTTCAGCAATTGTTCCTCGGGACGTTCAGTGGGACGGCAAGGAGCTGCAGATAAAGTGGGCAACTGATATCGAGGGATGGGGCCCGGACCATGTGTCCAAGTATGATGTGGCAATGTTTAAAGACCACAGGGCCAACCCTCCCAAATCGGATACGGGCAAGATGAGGCGTCGATTTCTCTGGGACAAGAAGACTATGGAAGGAAGACAGTACTGGGTCTCGTACGAGGATTACATGAATGACGAAACAGCATTCATCACGTCTATGCGCCATCTAGCTCTGATGGGCATCATCTTCGTTAAGGATATCCCCGATTCACGGGAGATGGTTGAGAAGATTGCAACCAAGATGGGCCCCCTGCGGAACACCTTCTACGGACCGACATGGGATGTCCGCAGCGTTCCCGAAGCGAAGAACGTCGCCTACACCAACGTCTCCCTCGGATTCCACATGGATCTCATGTACATGAACGAGCCCCCGGGCTTCCAGCTGCTGCATTGCCTCGAGAACTCATGCGACGGGGGCGAGTCCCTGTTCGTGGACAGCTTCCGAGTTGCGGATTCAATGCGTTGGAGATGCCCAGAACGATTCGAAGATCTGACCAAGCTGCACCTGAACTACGAATACAACCACAAGGAACACATCTACAACAACAGCTGGCCTGTATTGGAGACGGAAGACGGCGACCCGAAAAATCGAATCGTTCACGTCAACTACTCGCCCCCTTTCCAAGCGCCCATTATCTTGGACGAGGACATCCACGCGAACTGGCCCGGGTACAGGCGAGCTCTCACGGCTTTTGCGAGTGAAATCGAACGCCCTTACAACGTCTTCCAGCTGAAGTTAAAACCGGGCGAATGTGTCATCTTCGAGAATCGCCGAGTCCTCCACGCCCGTAACCAGTTCAACACCGAACAGGGTAAGCGGTGGCTGGCCGGCGCCTACGTCGACGAGGACGCCGTCCTCTCCACCTTCAGAAAGTGTCGTAACGTCCAGTACCATACTTGGCACTGGACCAGGATTCTGGGGCCCAGAGATGCGATCAACGCGGCCGGAGAGGGTGAAGCTACCGCCGAGAATCATGGAACAGAGTAAACCAGGAATTTTTTCTTGGTATTGCGGACGCAAGTTTAGCTTAGCGATGTGCTTTTCAACAAGGAGCATCCACCTTGAACTTTTGAATTCACTGCTATCGAAGTATAAGAGCTTCATGTACTGTAGCGGGTTATCAGACAATATTCATCCTTCCGATACCTGCGCATGCTGAATTCCGCGGCGCATGCATGGTTGAGGCAAAGCACACCACTGTACATGTGTAATCGTATTTGAACACGAAAAGAAATTATATTCATCATTGCTAAAACTCAAGTCTAACGAAGAGGGAATACATGGGAGTATAAATGGTTTTCAAGGAAGTTTGTATCATGTACCAAGAGCACCCGTCGTACCTTCAAGCGGTAGCAGGAGCTTTGTTAACTGAGAACTGGCTCAGGAAATCAGGGTCGTTGTTGATCTCTTCCTTGACCTGTAGCAAAAGCATATCAGTTAGCAATGACTTTCCAGCCGCAGAAGCGATGATAGAAGAACGTACGATATCTAATCCACCAACCAGCTCCCCCTCAACCCACAACTGAGGAAATGTAGGCCAGTCCGCAAACTCCTTCAACCCCTGCCTTACGTCCTCATCGGCCAGAATATTGAAGAACCCGTACTTGACACTCTTCTCCCGCAGGATGGCAACCAACTGGCGACTGAATCCGCACTGCGGCGCACTAGGTGTACCCTTCATGAAGAGCATAACCGGCGCGGCCTTCACCAGCTCCGCCAACCGTGCAAACAGCGCCTCCTTGGACTGCTCGGGCGTCAATGCCTGGGTCGAGGGAGCGGGCGGTTGCGTAGCAGCCGCAGGGGCATTTTCGCGAGGCGTAGCCGTCAAAGGAGGAGGGATAGCCGTCTTGTTCGCGCCGTCTGCGCCCGCGCCCGATCCAGCGCCCGCGTGCCGCTCGACCGCATCGCGCACCTTGACGGCGTCGCTGCCGCTAACGGATTCGAGGATCTGGACGTTGCGGATAAGGACCACGTAGGGGACTGCTGTGACGTTGTACTCTTCGGAGATGTCGGGGAGTTCTTCGGCGTTGATGCTCACGAAGGAGATGGTGGGCGGGGTGGTAACCGGGTGCTGGGAGGCGAGGGCGGAGAGAACGGCGCGCATCTGGGCGCAGGGAGCTGCCCACGGCGCATGGAAGTAGAGGACTAGTAAGGCTGAGGGAGGAAGAGAGGAGGTGTGTGCCGAGAAGTCGGCGTCCGAGGTAATTTCGTTGAGCGTCGACATGGTGCTTGAGAGAGAATATCGCGGGGCACAGTCGTGGGGTTAGATTGCCTGATGGAATAGACCTTTTGATTAACGGGGAGCTGGTAGTGTAACAGCTAGGAGGCGGAAGACAATCTATGGGTCTTTTTTTGAAGGAAAGGGGGACCAAGGAGTAGGATGAGAAAGAAAGAAGACGCAATGTCCTCTCAAGTATACAAGGCGATGGAAGTACGGAGGGGAAAGAGATGGGATGCACAAGACCGGAAGGCGAATTTTTGGCTTATCAGATCGGGCCCAGACTTGGAGGCACGTAAGGTACCGTACCGTTTCTTACGCTTTTGTTGGGTTCGATTCCGCGGAGAAACTGTTTAGCTGCGGATCAATCATAATCCGCCCTGACGCCATCGCAATGAGTCAGCAATGATATTTTCCTTCGCCCATTGGACTTCGCATCTGGGAGTAATTGATCCAGGGAGCATTACAAATCAATCAAAAATGAGAAGTACACCGTTAGCTTGACTTAGACGACCTCTTTGGAAGCAGCAACGTTTGGTCAGTAAGCAGTTCGTGGATATAATCATCACGTGATTCAATACTCAAATCTGATGTCTGGGATACTTATTATCACGTGGTCTCAAAAAGTCCATCCAATCCCTTCTGCTGAGCATTCTGGACAAACAACCGGCGAGGAGGTTTCGAAAAACTGCTTTATGCCGAGTTCGGTTTTGTAATCTAAGACAGTTATTCACAAGGAACACGGATGTCCTATATCTTAAGTGGTTGCAACCTCCCTAGCCACTAAATATCTGCTTTTGTTGGGCACCACCGGTCCAGATATGGCTGGAACAAACAAGCGCAAGCGCAGAGAAGCCGAATGCTCAGATGATGAGGATCCAGTCGGGCATCCTTCCGATAATACTAATGGCTTTGGAGTAGCCCAAACTCTATCACTTCTTCACGGCGCAAAATCACAAGCGGCAGACGACAGCGCGATAGCTACTGCAGGTTCTGATGCGACACCTACAGAAAAAGCCCATGATCAGATGAAAGACGGTGTATCGGTGCAAAGACCCACGAAAAAGAAAAGAGTCGACGGCGAAAAGACAAAATATCCTGTGCTTACCTATGTGGAAGGTCGACTGCAATCCTCCATCCGCATCGCGGATCTCCAAAACCTATTGCTTTACTGTTTCGCGGATGGCATTGCACCTCAGTGGATCTCCATCAAGCATTCGGGTCATATTAGAAAAATTGTCGTGTTGATGGTTCCCGGTCTGGAAATGGGGATGTTTGACGGGACTCTTCCGTTGAAACCGCAACCTGAAGATGAGGATTCTCGATCGACTCAAGCTCCCGACGCAGAGCAGAAAGACTCCGATGCTAACAAGTCGGCCGAAGGGGATGAGGACAAGGCCAACTTCCTTCGCTGGAAACAAGGCCTTCCGCTGGAAGATCGATCGCACCGATTCAACCCCCGTTCTTTAACGCGAGACAATCTTCCGGAACCATTACAACCACTGGCGGACATGTTTCCACACATCTGGCCCGTCAGAGCTCCTGGAGACTCAAAGTACAACAAGGTTCATTCTCCTCTTCAAGCCATCTTACTTTCTTCCTTACCGAAGAACAAAGAGAGTGGGGGCAAGGGCCCTAAACCGCCTAAGGTAGACAAAAGCTACGTCCCTAAGCGTACGCCTATCACGGCATTCATTAGCAGTGTTGACGATCTGCGCGAAAACGATTATGTCCTTCATCCGGCCCTCTTGTCAACTGAAAATGAGAAGTTGGCGTTGGCGGAAAATCGCAAAAGAGCTGGCCAGTCGACCGAGGATGGTTGGGTCGATACACATGTTTCGAGCTGGGAAGCGGGACAAGTTCCTGAGCATGAGATTCAGCAAGGCAGTGTAACTGCCGGTCGCGATGTACTGGCTCTGGATTGTGAGATGTGCATCACAGAAGGTGGTAAATCAGAACTTACACGTATCAGCTTGGTACGGTGGGATGGCGAAGTGGTGTTGGATGAGCTTGTGAAGCCACAGTTGCCCATCATCGACTACCTGACCCGCTTTTCCGGAATCACAAAAGAGAAATTGGATTCTGTCACGACCACCCTCGCCGACATTCAGCAAAAGTTACTCAATATCCTCACTCCGCGCACGGTACTGGTGGGCCACTCGCTCAATTCCGACCTGAACGCTCTCAAGCTTACCCATCCCTTCATTGTTGACACCGCAATCATCTATCCCCACCCTCGCGGACCACCGCTCAAATGCAGCTTGAAGTGGCTCACTCAGAAATATCTCGGCAAGGAAATCCAAAAGGGCCAAACTGGCCATGACTCCGTGGAGGACGCCCGTGCCGTGCTGGAGCTGGTGAAGCAAAAATGCGAAAAGGGCGAGCGATGGGGCACAAGCGACGCCTCAAACGAGAGCATCTTCCGGCGTCTTGGCCGTTCCCCGCGCCCAGGGAAAGCAACCACCTCTGGCGAAGGCCGTACAGGAGCCGTCGTGGACTGGGGCAACCCCGAGCGCGGATTCGGGTCGCAGGCGACCGTCGCGATTGGGTGCCAGAACGACGAAGAAGTAGTTCAAGGCGTCTCCGCCGTCGTGAAAGGCGATCCCAGCAACCCGTCCGTTCCAGGTGGCGGAGTGGATTTCACCTGGGCCCGAATGCGAGAACTCGAGGTTCTCCGCGGGTGGTGCAATCGTCTCCCTGACCCGAACAACGCCAACGAGTCGACGACGTTGGTTCCTCCTCCCGAAGAAACTACTCCCACGGGTTCTGGCACAGTCGAGCCTTCTGCTGCTGCTCAGAATGCCCTGGCAGATACAGTAGCCCGCACAGTTGCCAACATCCAACGCATCTACGAATCCCTTCCACCTTGTACCCTGTTCATGGTATACTCGGGCACCGGTGACCCACGAGAAGTCAGCCGCCTGCAGGCCATGCACAAAACTTTCCGGGAGGAATTCAATTCGCGCAAACCGTGGGATGAGTTGACTGTTAAATGGACGGACGCGGAGGAACAGGCGTTGAAGAAGGCCTGCGAAAGGGCCAGGGAGGGCTGTGGGTTTATGTGTGTCAAATAGAGGAATTTCTCATGGGGGTTATTTGCGTCTTGCATATATGGCCTCATCTTGTGTAAATGTCGGTTATCGTTGGATTATTGAATGATCGAAGTCAGGATACCCAGACATTTGGTTGAGGTTGATGAAGATAGATGAATTACATGACATGAACATTTCTGCAGTGCCAAACCACTACGATGATAGGCATAGTAAAGGCCAGTTTATAACTCTTTATCTTGAACAGTTTTCTAGAAATACATGTTATAAACTGCACCCTATATTGTCACCGGCCCTCCTCAGTCTCCATTGCTTCCTCGCGTTGCATTGCTAAGCGCGCCATCGTGTCCCGCGCTGCTATTTGCTTTCGTCTCTCGTCATCATCGTTAATGCCTGAAGGCTTGATCTGCGTTGATGTCGGCAGATTCTCCTTCGTGGAGTCAATCTCATGATTCCGTGGTTGACTGCCTGCTTCTTTGTTTGAGTGTTGGGACGTTTCCTCCGTATTCATTGGCAGACTTCCTTCTAATGCGTTTTGATCTCCGTCCGTCGATTGGGAAACTGCATTGCCCGACTGACGCCGTGAAGGGGGCCGCGATTGACTACGCAAGGTTCGCGAACGAGTAGAGCCCCGTTGCCTGGCCTCCAGTGCTTCGCTAGGGCTCGTGTTTGACGGTATTTGCTCATTTTGACTACCTGTACCAACGTTGCCATTTTGTTCGCTCAACGGTGTCGGTTTTGGTGTCTGAGGGAAGTCCGGCTTGGCAGACTGGCTGAATGATTTACGCGGTCGTCCTGGCCTTCTCTTCTCGGTGTTTCCCCCGGAAGGCCGGTCAGCCGAATGGAATATGCGAGGCCGCTTGACCACAGCGGGCTGTTGCGTGTCCATATTTGTGCCTTGAGTGTCTTCAACCATGTTGTCAAAGTGAGGCGTATGTTGACGCGATCGAGTGACCTCAATACGAAGTCTAGGCGATTCAGGCGGTATCTGATGGTGGGTTGAATCGGTTATGGCACGGCCAGGCTCGGGATCTTTCAAGGGAATTTTGACCGATTGAGCATGCATATCCGCGAGAGAGAAGTCGCCGAATGTGTCATCTTCCTCATCGAAGGAGTCCGCAATGGGCTCGGTGCGACCACTTGGAAACGAGTCGGGCCAGGGCCGTTTCCTACCAGCCTGAAGGAGCCCAGGACTCCGGACTTCTGGCATTGCAGTCGTTTCCGTGCCGAAAGTTGCAGCAGGGTGCCTTGTTGTCTGCTCCTCCATGTATCGGTTCTTCAACTGGAGAGCCTGGATCTCCAACTTCAATGTCTCAATTTCTTCGGCTTTCGATTTGAGTTCTTTCAACACCGTCCTGATCATATCGAAATCGCTTCCATGAGTACCAGAACTGTCAGAGGGAAGGCGCCCAGGACCATTTAACTCTATCCGAAGCGATGTGAAGGAATGTTTCAATTCCGACATGGTATCATGCAGGTTGTTAACGGAGTTGGAAATGTAATCAATGCTGACACCTTGATGCTGGATCTGCTGTTCCATCGACATGGTATTCCCGTCGACCTTGTGGGGACCGGTAGATACTAAAGCCCGACTGGTGGACTCTTTCGGAGTTGGACAGAGGATACGTTCGAGGGATCCGTCTTTGAAAAGGGGTTCAACGGTGCGCATGGTGACGATCTCCCTAAATGATACCTTGGGTAGCTTCCAGAAGATATTAGGACTGTAGCCCAGTTAGAAGGCGCACTTGCACATGAGCCTGCTTCTTGACTTCCGCACTCACCCATCGTCTAAAGCACACAGGACCCCCAGTTTCTGCTGACACAGCTTGCAAGCAATTTCCTGCAGGATACGACCCCGCAAAAGGCTCATTTCAGAGTTCTGCGGCACCTGTTTCTTCTCGGTTGAGATCGAGACCCGGTGAAGTTCGACGCTCAGCCATCCTGTAGCGACGGCGT